CTGAGCAGAGCTGGTACTTCCCCCCAACACTGATCCCTCCCTGCTCACGGCATATCCATAACTCACCTCCACCCTCAACATACAGAAATAAATAGTTGGGGTTGAGGGAGGCAACCTGCTGGCAGCACTTCTACCCCTCATCCTCCCACATCCAGTTTTATGCTGCCCTGGTTGCATTGCTGGTTCAGAATTCCACAACCATCATCATCTCCTGCAATGAATAACCCAATAAAGGGTCACTGCAATAACTTACCTCATGTTTGCAACTCCCTTCTACCTCTGACTGTTGCACCACAGAACAGCTTAACCTGCTTTTAGGCCTCATGAACCTGTGTTCTGTCTGATACTCTTCATCTCTGACTTGGTTCTTTAGATGGATCTCCTGGCTTCTGGCTTCCCAGCTCCCCTACACTTGGACTCTGCCCACTCCCCTTGGATCTTGATTGCTTCTTCAGATCCTGGGTGACCTCCACATCTGGCCACCCATGACCTGGCATGACACTGTCCAGTACAGGTTCCTAGGTAGTAATATACCTTTATTGGAGATGCTGGAGGTGAGCAGAGGAACATCATCAGGCATAGATAACAGGATAATAGTAGAAGAAAGGCTAGCTTGACTAAAGGAAGATTAAGGTTGTTAACAATAATGAGTCAAAGTTAATTGACTCTTTCAGTTCTGTTTGAGTAGGAATGAGGCTGTCCATGACAGGCTGTTTGTTTTAAACATTCAGTAGAGCAGGAATTAAAGTGGGGTGCAACTGTACCCTCAACCCCATCCCCCACAGATCAGCTCCTGCTTGGTTGCCCATGGTTTGGAGTGTCCATGTACCTAATGGTGCCTTCCTCTCTAAACAAGTAAAACTTAGAAGGGCTAACTGATGAAGTCAATGGTGCTTTGGGATCTGGGTGCTTGAATACAGGATCTACTGTTGTAATTTACACTTTATTTAAGGTACAACAGAAATTATTTAACTGTTTATTTAACTTGCTGTATTTATGAAAAAACATGCATGTATTTAATAAAGATGGAAACTTCAGGCTCCCTCACCAAGAAAGGGTGCAATATAAAGGCCGATTCCTAACTCAGTTCTCCCTTGTATTTGACGGGAAAATTCCCAATATCTTGGCAAAACTCATTAAAACCATACAATATAAAAGCTTCAAGGAAATTTTTATTTGAAGTTATCTTTGCATGGATGATCCTCATCAAGGCTGAAGAGGAAGTGTGTTACAGGAATGATAATGGAGCAGTTTAAAGCTTCTGAGGTCTAAGTGCAGATGGCTATCCATATGGAGACTATCATGTGACAGGATCAAAGGATGTGTGATAGCAAGAAATAAGAGTGGCTATATCTCCATATGCCTGCAAACTCAAAGTGGTTTGTACCTATAAACTCACTGGCATCCAGTAGAATCAGAAACACACAAACTAAATGAAACTGCATGTTTTATATTAAACTCATTGCATTTCCAAAGTTCATTCCCTGGAGAGATTTCAAGTTTTTCATAATACCTAGTTGTGTGTAGGGGGGGGATGACTGATAAATAATATTTAGTCACTGGCTTTCAAAATGAGGACATTAACTTATTTTGAAGATAAAATCCTTGCATGGGGGAAGTAACAGATCCAAAGGAGCATCTGAGCATGACTTTAACACCATGTTCATATTTTTCAGCTACTATGGGAGATTTGAATTGGAAAAATCAAATACTTTTAATATTAGTTAAATCCCTCAGTTGGCTGTTACACTTATGAATCGGGTCCCTAATAGAAGTTTAAACAAAAAAAATAAGTATTTTGTTTCCAGTGCCTTTTCTTTAGAGTTCAGGGTTCCAATGGCCAGAAAAGATTATATTGATGTATCATGTTCAAAATCTACTCTTACTGTTGTTAATCCTATATCCTAAACCTATTTGGCAAAAAATATTATTGGTAAACTAAAAAAATCAACTTTTTTTTTCCTTACAGGTGCTTTTTCAGAAACTGAGCAGAGAGAAAGCAGGTAAGTCCATAGTCTTCTACAGAAGACATTGTATTGTTTATGAGTAACACTGTCCTGAAAGTTTATTGAGGCATAATGTAGATACATAATGAAAGTATTTATAGTTCTTAATGGTACATCCATAGGAATCTCTGAATACCAGACTTAAGTTCTGCATTTTGTTTGGTGCTATAGCTTTACACAGTTTTGTACTATTGTTCACAAATGTTCACCTGATGGTTGGCAACGTTTAGCAGGCTCAACTGCTTGGCATGGACAGCCTTATTTCTGCTCAAATGGAACCAACAGAATCAACTGACTTTGTGGCTCATTATTATCTGTTTGCTTCCTGCTAATCTCTTCACTCCATAGCTGTTAACAACCCTTAATCTTGGGTCCAAGGCAGAATGAATCTTGGGTCCTAACCCAAATGCTACCATAGCTGCTTTTCTGCATCACCCAGATGTGGTGCAACACTGGAAAGCACTCATCTGCTGCCTCCAGCACCACAGGTGATAGTTGGCCAACCCCTAGACACTTAGGGTAGAATTCTGTCACACTCTATGCACTTAAACAATAGCCTTCTGGCTGCATAGACCATCACTTAAGCACTTTGGCGCTTAAGTATTTTTGTTATTCTGCAGTCTTGATGTGTAATCATATGTGTTTAGCTTATAAGCAGGAAGATACGAGGGGTGATCAAAAAGTTCTAAGACTTAGCCTTTATTTTAAAAAATAGTGTACAAACAACATTTTTATGAGCTGTCCCCTTCAAAGTAATCTCCCCCAGATGATATGCACTTGTCCCTACATTCCTCCCACTTTCGGAAGCAATGCTGGAAGTCTTCAACTGTGAGTTTTTTGAGTTCCACTTTCACATTCTTATAGATGGTTGGAATGTCATCAAATCTCCTTCCTTTCAGCTTCATTTTGATTTTTGGAAACAAAAAAAAATCACATGGGGCAAGGTCAGGTGAATACAGAGGGTGTGGTATCACAGGAATGTTTTTTTCAGCCAAAAATTCTTGAATGGAGACAACAGTGTGTGAAGGAGCATTGTCATGCTGCAGAAACCATCAACAATTTTCACACAGCTTGCGGCAGTTTCTTCTAACTTTATCCCTCAATCGAATCAAAACCTCTTTATAAAAGGCCTAATTGATTGTTTGACCTCTCGGTACAAATTCCTAATGAACAATACCTCGAACATCAAGTCTTAGAACTTTTTGATCAAACCACATACATGTGTGCCTGAGCACAAGTTTCAGAAGAAACTCCCATGTTTTAGTCTTAGTAGCTTAGTGATTAGGGAAGGGGTGGGCAAAATGGCAGATCCAGCCAGCATCCGGACTCCATTTTCCAGCAGCCTAGGAAGGCAGGAGGCAGTGGAGACCTTCCTCCGAGGCCCAGACGGAGACTTGCTGTGGGGTGGTGGATGGGACCCAGAGGTCCTGTGTGGCCAGGACTGGGGGTCTGGCATGGGGCGGGACTGGACATGGGCTCCAGTGCCCAGCCCTGACTGGTCAGTTGCTGCCAGAGCAGCTCCACATGCCATTGCTCCAGGGTCTCCAGCCAGGCCCAGTGCTCCCACTGCATGAATGCCATGTGCACCCGGAGACTGGGCGGGGAGGGGCGGGAGCGGGGAACAGCAAGCTGCTGCAGGCAGTGACAGTGCTGTCAGTGGTGGGAGTGTGGCAGCAGCAAGCTCCTGCAGGCAGCCACAGCGCTACACATACGTGCCCCCCGCTGCTGAGGAAGACTTCACTGCATGAGAAGCCTGTGCCCACCCAGCTTCAGGGACATAGGCTGTTCAACAAAGTTTTGAATTCTGTCCTGCCTCTCTGCATGCTGTGCAGGGGGGAACCTGGGGCCAAGGGAGAGCGGGAGGGGCGGGCAGGGGGCTGGGGCCAGGGCAGAGCCAGGGACTGGGAGGGCCTTCCTTCAGTGCATGACTTACCACATGTCTGGGGCTACTGAAGCTGGCAGCTCGGTATGGGGCTCCCTGTCAGCGATAGCATCTGGCTGAGCACAGTGTTCATGGCTGGCAGCATACAGACCTGGGAGGAGCTCGTGGTCAGCAGTGGTGTAGCTGGCCACTCCTTGTGGTGCAGTGTGAGTCTGGGCCAAGGGCAAGGCAGCCACCAGGCAGAGCTCCCTGAGCTGCCAGTGGGTGCAGCAGCCAGGGAGGTGGGTGGGGTGGGGTGGGGCGGTGAAGGCCTGAGATCCCCTCTTCTGGTGATGCTCCAGAGGCATCAGGGGAGGGTGTGGGCAAGGGAAGGCCTCCCCTGCTGGTGGCACTCACCGGGGTGCAGCCCATCTCCCGGGGCGCCAAAATGCAGGTCAGCTGATGCGTGAAGGGCATGGTCTTCTGGGCATGCTTGGACTGATGATTGAAGTCGGTCATGGCCACCCACTGTGTCTGCAACACCATGGCCTTCACACAACACTGCTATGCCATCCTAGAGTTGCCTTGTGCACACATCCTGGCTGAAGTGGCTTCATAAATGTGGGCATTCAAGCACCCACACTGTGTAAACTGCCTCTGGATGTCAGTCCTGCCCCAGAGTGCCACAAGGTTGCATACATCCTCCCGGGTCCAGCTGGGGGCCCGGACACTTGGGGTAGGAGTGGGCACAGCCAGGGCTCGACAGGGATGATGTGCTGGATATGCTCCCTGCACCAGCTTTCTGGGCCCCCACATGGCTATCCCTGCGATGCCAGCCCTGGAGAACTGCCAGCAGCACCCAGGACAGGGGCATGGCCAGGGATGGGGAGCCATGTGGCAGAAGTGCTTCACCCCAGTGCCTACAAAGAGACAGAGCTGGGGTTGAGTGGGAGCAGGTGCTGGCCCTGCTGCCATAGAGAGCAGGGCCAGCAGCCCTGGGGGGAATCTCAGAGCTGGACAAGGGACACAGCAGGCTGCAGCACTTTGCAGCCCTTACCTGTGGCCAATGAGCAACTCTGGCTAGGGGACAGGACAGGCAGAGGCTGCCTTAGTCTGGTCTGGTCCGGTCTGGTCCTGGTGGGGCGTGGGGGCAGCACACGGGGTCTGGTGGGCTCCTGCAGACAGCACTGGCTTCTTTAGGCTTCCTGTGCTGTGTGCCCCAAGGCACAAAATGGCTGGAGACTTTTATAGCCTGAAAGCTAGGGGCTGCCAGTGAGCAGCCCAGCCCTGGAGGATGAGAGGCAACCAGCACACATGTGTAGACGTGCACCCTTAATGCACATTAAATTGGGTGAATGAGCATTAAATGCTCATGTGTAAATACACACAGTAGTTACAGCACTGTGCTGGGAAGTCAGAGAGATGCAGGCTCAAATGTCCACTGAGTGAAGTCAGGCCTAAAACCTGAGTCTCTAGTTTCCTGAATAATGATTTAGCTATTGAAGCTAAAACATGGGAGAGCTTCCCTCCTCTTCCTAACACCTATTACTCATTCTGTGGGTTTTTGTCTAGCAACATTTTCATGACTTGCATGTCCACAGCATACATACACATCCATGTAGCTGCCAGCCAGTGTGTAGTCAATGGCACATGCTCAGTCTTTGTGTGTATACCACCACTGCATACTGCAAATCTAATAAAATCACCAACTGTCCACATGTCAAAAAGACCAGTAGCATGGCTGGAAAACTGCCAATTAGGCATACAAAGAGTGACAGACTTCCATCTGTAGGGCAAGATCTGTATCATAACCTATGGTACACGCCAATAGTCAAAATTAAAAATTTGAATTATAAAAGTAATCAGTCCTATACCAGTAGCTTCAAAACCTCTCAGGCCCCTAAATTAATTCATTGCTTACATTCTGGCCTGAAAAGATCTTGATCTATGTAGACTGAGTATGTGCATTAGGCTAAGTTTGAGCAGCTGGACACCCAGCCTTCTTGCAATATACATCAGGACTGGGGAGGTGTCTAAACTATGTCTGAGTCTCCACACCTAACTCACATGATAGAACTGAGTTTAGTATAATTGTGCAGCACCTGGACTCACTCAAATCATAGCCAGCCTGGATGCACACCTTGCCTAATAATCTAGTAGTTACACTATGATACCAAGAAATAAGAGACCTGAGTTCCAGGCTCTCCTCAGCCTTACAGGATTAAAACTCACACTTCACAGAAGAATGCCCTATCCACTACACTGCAGTGCCCTCCCCCTGCTTGTTAAAGCTGGCCCAATGGGCAATAAGGAATGCAAGAGTTATGAGCCAAAAGGAGAGGAAGCAAGAAGCTTCTTACCCATAAGCTGTCCAGTGTAAAATGCAGACACAGTTCTGGTATCATGGACCAGAACCCAGATGTTGGAAAGCAGAATTATCTGGCTTTAGTAGGAGAGGTCTAGTTGTAGGATTAGCTGGAGTAGGATTAGCCTGTGGCCTGGTTGTTAGGAGAGATGGAACATAAGAGATATGAGTTTGAGTCCCGTTAGCTAAAGAGGCCTTATAACCAAGTCTTCCACTTTGCAGGGGAGTGTTCTAACCACTTAACATTTATACATTGCCTGTGGTGGCAATTATGTGCCTCTCCTTTGCATCCTGAATAGTCAGAGTGCCTAAGCTCTGAGGTGGAGTGGATGTTCAGGAAAAGCCTTGTGCACAATGATGTGTGCTGGCCTGCTCTGGGTAACTGTGCCTAGGCAGTCTGGATGGCCATTTGGAGGTGCCTAGCTCTCTTCATTTACTCCGTAAGGTTCTGAGGCACTTCACTTTGAGTCACACATCTGGAGAAAGGCACCCATATTTTAGTTATTCTGATTTTAGACTGTAGAAAAGTTAAAAATTCTGCTACTTTGGACTTGCATTTTTCAAAGTGAGTGTTGAAATAGCAGGAAGAAATGAAGCATTCCTGTGGAGTCAGTATCAGTGTGAGATATATGAATGTATTAAATATGCATGTGAGAATCTACATGTATTTGTTGTTGAATCTGCTGATGGCAATTAATATGTTGGTTTACATTATGTTCACAATATATTCTGTGCTGAGCAGCCTGGCAGCAGTCTTATCTATGCTTGCAG